AATTTTGTTGGTAAAACTGTACTGTATACCTACAAATTAACCATTGTGAGTCCGTACAGGTAGAACGTATCTGCTAGTACAGCAGGGTAACAGTGAGCACTAATCAGTCTTGAGATACACCACTCTGTCCTCCCATTTTACCATGCACTTAACCACCACGGTACAAAGCCACAATCCACCTTCCAAGGATGCTCATCAGTTTAGAGCACATCCGCAGGCATTGCTTTGGTGGAAATAACAGATAAAGATACATTGAGGAGATTTCTTGTGTGCTTCCATCCTGCTGTAAACTAACGGTGGACACTAACCTTCACAGTCGTTGGTTCTAGGTGTACAGACTTTCTCTTTCGGCTTCCCTGTCCCAAGCCCATCATGCCTTGTGGGACTATAACATCTGATTTTTTTTTTTGCGATGCAACTCAATTGGGACAGGAGAACTTCATTTGAAAAAAGGTAGGACTATGTTGGATTGGATGTGGCATGGCTGCACCAAAATCAGAGTCAAATTTATCTGAAGCTTACTCCTAAGAATGTTCTCTTTCAATGTTACTCATCAGGTAACGGTGTCCACTGCATGAAGAATATTCTACCATCGTTTTACAATGGATTAAGGTATGAGGAAACCAAATGGAATCTATTCTACTCTCTTTTACTCAGCTTCCACTGAGTGTCCTTGTGCAAAGGAAGCTTGACATGAATGTACTATGAGTATTATTATTTATACAAATTTTATTTTTTCATTTCTTATAAATGTTGTGATGAAGCAACATGGCTCTTCCAGCTTAATTAGAGAGCTTCCGAAATTTCCACTGAATAGACTGCTGAAAAGGGAAATGGTGAACTTCCTTTATGACAAGTTTTGTTATCAGAACAGCTGTATTAACAGCGTGTCTTCAATGCCATAAACTGTGCAAACAGCATACAAACATAAATGCAACCAATGTATAAAGCTTCATACGTGAGGCAGTCACGACAAACACAAAAAAAACAAAAAAATATATCAGTGAGTTCCACAAAAGTTATATGTCAACAGCGATATGATGAAAAAAATGAAGTTTTTTATAAGCATAAAGTACTACACAACAAAAAGTATTTTCTTTAAAGGGGCACCAATACAGAACATGATGCGGGAATTTTATCAAAACTGGAGCAGACACAATCTGGAGCAGTTGCCCATAGTAACCAATCAGTTTCTCTTTTCAGTTTGTTAAGTTAAGCTTTGAAAATGAAAGATAGAAGCTGATTGGTTACTATGGGCATCTGTTTGATGATTTTTTTCCCTACAGTTTAAATTTTAAAAAGAGTATGATTATTACCTAAAGCATTAATTCAGCATCCAATACAATACAATAGCTCGCTATGTTCTATAAACCACAATAACATATTTAGTATACAATATAAAATACACCAGTCAAAACACAGAAAACCTGCGTATTAACTTACTAAGCAGTCTTGTTTTGGCAAAAACACATATTATATTTATAGTATGTCAACCACCAAATACAGCTCCTCGCCCAAAATGACAGCCTGACACTCCTAATGAAACACAAAACTGTAATCGCCAAAGCATAATATATACAAATAAATGAATAATATCTGATATAAAAATATTCTTTTCAAGGTCATCTGACTATATCTAACTAAGTTTCTCATTTTCTTCCCACATGTCAGTTAGTACAGGCAGTCCCCGACTTACGAATGCCTGACTTACGAACAACCCGTACTTACGAACTGAGGTCCAACTGCCTCCCCGAGATTAGTGCCGCTCCCGAGTCCTTGCTTCTGCCACCCCAGGTCCCGCACTCCCGCAGTGAACAACTGCATACAGCTGTCACTCAGTGTCACTGACTTTACTGCAGTTCATTGTAAAAAAAACTTTGTACAATGAACTGCAGTAAAGTCGGTGACACTGAGTGACAGCTGTATGCACTGGTGCCGGGGGCTGTGCGGGGATCCGATGACGGCCCCAGCGGGGAGGAGAGGCCGCTGTGAATACAGTCCCCCACTGCCCCCCCACCCCCGTACCTCTGCTGCCGTCCCGGCCGGTTCCTCCTCTTCCCCTGGTCCGTACATAAAAACATACGTATACTACAGACAGATGGACACTTTCCCCCACTGCCCCCTCCCCCGTACCTCCGCTGCCGTCCCGGCCGGTTCCTCCTCTTCCCCTGGTCCGTACATAAAAACATACGTATACTACAGACAGATGGACACTTTCCTCAAAGCATGCAACCTTAGCTGGCTAAACAGTGCTGCTACTGACATGAAAGTTGTGACTTTTTCTCAATTCTCAATAGCTAAGTCCTCATCGCCATCTCTAACCTTTCACACTGACTGCTGATGTATACCCACTGCCCTGCAGAGAGCAATGACGGGCACAGGGCCGGATTTGTTCTCCCTGCCGCCCCAAGGCCAGGTTCCGCAATGCGCCCCCTCCCCGCCAACCGTCCCCCCCAAATCAACGGAGAATGGCAGGGGTGGCAGGGTTAGTTCTATTTTTTTTGTTTCTTAGGCCGTCGGGGGACTCCCTGCCTCTGCCGCCCCTCGGCGCCCTGCCGCCCCTCCGTCTGGCCTCGGTGGCCTTGTGGGGAATCCGGGCCTGGACGCGCAGCTCTCACACGAGTTGTCTATGATGAGCAGGCTTCACATTGAAGACTGAAACATCAGTT